CCCCTGGGGAAGGGCTTCTGGAAGTGTAGGACTGCCGACCATGCAGGGACAACTGAAGGAATGTGTACCTGTCTCTTCCCAGTGGCACTTAAAAGAGAAGTGGGGACTGAAAAGAACCTAGCAGAAAATGGGATGGAGAAAAGACAGGCAGAAAAGGAAGTGGGGAAGGGAGCAGCTGATGTTGGGGATGTGGAGTAAAAGCACAGGGTGGTATTTGGGTCCTTGTCTAAATTCTGAGACTCCTCTGCTTTGCCCACAGAAGATGCAAAATGCAAGTTCTGGATCTACGGAATGTTCATCGGAACTTCTGGAGCCTGTGGTCTGGAGCCGAGGCTGGTGCGTGCTCACCATGGGCCATGAACGAGACGCAATCAGTGGAGGACTTTCCAGGCACAGGGGGGAAGCGGCCACTGAAGGTGTTAGTGGACCTTTGCCTCAAGGAAACAGCCCTGGATGAATTCCACACCTGCCTCTTACTGTGGGTCAAGCAGAGACAAGGTTTATTACGGCTTTGTTGTCGGAAGCTAGACATTTCTTCACTGCCCATCTGTGTTATCGACGAGGTCCTCCGCATGGTGGAGCTGGACTGTATTCAGGAGGTGCGAATGGACAGAAACTGCGATCTTCTCAAATTGGCAAGTTTTGCCCCTTTCCTTGGCAGAATGAGTAATCTTCGCAAACTCCTCCTCCACCACGTCTTTGAGATTCCAAGGATCTCCCCAGAAGAGATGAAAGAGATTATTGTCAAAATCGCCTCTCATTTTGCCAAGCTGCACCATCTCCAGGAGCTCTATGTGGAGTCTGCCGTCTTCCTTGAAGTCCACGTGCACGTGCTGCTCAGGTGAGGAAGGTTGGCGCGTTTTCCCTGCAGATCAGAGCAAAGCCTTGTGTGTGTATTTCCAGTCGACATTAATGGGCATCCCCTGTGTGCCAGCTGCTGGTGATTTAGTCAGAAGGAGACACTAGAATGTCAGCTCAGGGTCTTCTTTACTTCTCTGTCTTAAAGTGCGGTAGCAAATAAACACCCAAAGGCAGAGGGATAAACTGGGGTACATGTTAGAGACACGGGCACCGTGCTAGGAAGCTCACCACTGAGGGGTTGGGATCTAGTGAGGGTGGGTATGTGACTTCTTCTTTAGGAAGTGTGTCAGAGTTAAGATGATGGAAAACAGGAAAATGAAGAGGGCGTTGAAGCGGGGAGCGCATCAGACCTGCACGTTTCCAGATACAATCTCTGCACTCACCAGCTTTTAGAGCAGGAATGAGCCTCTAATTTTTTGTCTATAAAATGTTGCCTTGAGCTCCAGGTAAGGTGATTGGTGTGTGGGAATCGCATGATTCTGTAGTGCAGGGTGTGGGAGCAGGAGGGAAGAACTGCACAGTTATTGATGGTTTGCTGCTGATGCAGAGCTGCAAGTGAGCCCTGCAGCCGGTGACCTGGCTGATGTTGTCAGATCCTGCCTGGGTTTGTCCTTTGTGATGTCTCCTCCTAGCCTCGTCCTGCCCAGACACATGGTTTTCTGCCTGGGAGCTTTAGAGAATTTGTGGACTTGACCCACTTACACAGTGATGGTGAAAGGACTCAGACTAACATGGGATTCAGACTTGAATGACTGCCGTTTTCAACATGAGCATCCTAGGTGCTGTCCACCATCAGATGGTCAGAACGACCTTGGGCTTGCGCAAAAAGTTCTTCTCCCACCTTAAGGTCATTTTCCACCACCCTCCTCTTGCCACTACCAGTCCCCAGAACTAACCGCTTATTCTCTCCCCAGGTGCCTGAAGACCCCCTTCGAGACCCTCTCAATACACAATGGCTGGCTCTATGAATCAGACATGAGCCATCTGTTCCAGTGTCTGAGCATCAGTCAGCTAAAGCACCTGGACCTGAGGGGCATCTGCCTGATACATGTAAGCCCTGAGTCCCTCCGAGTTTTGGTAGAGAGTGTTGCAGTCACCCTCCAGACCCTGGACTTACAGGACTGTTGGATGACAAACCCTCAACTCAATGCCATCCTGCCTGCCCTGAGCCACTGCTCCCAGCTCAGGGCCTTCAGCTTCTATGGGAACTATTTCTCCATGGCTGCCCTGAAGGACCTGCTGCGCCATACAGCGAACTTGGCCAATTTAAGCCTCGAGATGTATCCTGCGCCTCTGGAGAGTTATGACCCCGATGGTGATTTCCAGTGGGGCACATTTGTCCAGCTTCGTGCAGAGCTGATGGTGATACTGAGGGTCTTCAGGCAGCCCAAGTTGATCTGGTTCAGTAGCTATCCCTGTGTTCGCTGTACAAAGTGGCAGTCCTGTCACTGGGAGGGCACCAGTTGCTACTGTTCCTTGCCTGTCTAGTCACGTGCATATATCAAGCTTTCTTCTGGGCCTTTGCAAACTGAAACTGGGATGTACATTCATTGTAAATGGAAAGCAGAACCCATCATTTCAGACATCTGCTCAGTGTGAATGGAAACAGGACAGGTGATGCAGAAGGGGGCAGGATTAGGGTGGAAATGTTGACTTGGGGACTTGATGGGAACTTCAGGTATTTGTGTCCTATAGTCTCAGAAATAAGGGTCTGAATTTCTAGAGCAGGATTTAGGCTTAAGAGGTACCTGAGGGAGCTACCCCTGCACGGATGGTTGTAAAGAAACTCGTAAATAAAGGAAACTTTATTGTAATCCTTCTATTGTCTTCCTTGTTGATTAATCTATTTTTTTCAGTTCAAACCTCAGGAATCTCCAGTTACTGATGGGGAAAGAGGCACTGAGCTGTGTGTTACCAGTGAGGTTTGGACCCTGGTTTTCAAGGTGTCTAAATGAAGATTGGTCATTTTGATCAATTCCCTGTTTACTTTTTAACTGTTTTGATCATTTTCTCTTTGTCTTTACTTCTCAGGGCATCTGTTACTTCCTGGCTTATTTCTATAGCTGTTCAGAGGGTTAATACCCACAAGGTGCACTCACAGGGCCTGGGACATTCATGCGGGCAATGATCCTGAGTCCCTGTCAGGAGCCCTCACTGCTAACCAGATGCTGAGACCCTGGCCACTCATGGGTGGACCCAGAAGCCTCAGTTCCCGGCCTTTGGCTGTCATGGGAGAAGGGCTATAGTGCACAAGCTGTGGCCCCCACACTGGAAGGGGACGTCTCCACTGCATACTAGGTGGAGCCTGTGGGCCTCACCAACCCATGTGTCGGCCTGATGGGGACTGGTCTTTCTTGGATTAGAGTAGTTGTATGTGGTAAATACATCCAAACTAAAATATAGAACACTTTAAAAATATTTCTGTGGCACATGTAAGTAATTACATCCTTTGGGGGTCTAGGTCATATTGATGAGAGTTTGACCTTCCCGCAACACCTCCCTTCTCTCCCTATCAAAAGAGACAAACAGCGCATTTTGAAATCAACATGTCATCAAAGGATGGATAATGACAAAGTACCAGTGGGTACATGAGCGACCTCACCTGTGCTGACTGATTCTAACCAAAGGGCACCCTCGTGAGGCTCCCTGCTGAGGCTTGGAGGCTTGTGGTGTTGGGCAGGGACCTTAGCCAGGAGCCTTGGTTTCTCTGTAAATCAGGATCATGATGCGCACCCAGCTCATGGGACCCTTGTAGGATCCAATGAGATGACGCACCTTTAGGACTTGCATGGGACACGGTGTGCAGTAGAGCTCAATAATTGCATCTCTTCCTTCTTTTTCCCTCCTAGCAGAAGACCCCAGCATTCTCCAGCCTTCAATCTTTCCCTGTATTCCTGATACCAGGGAGGAGGAAGGGAGCATAGGACACACCGTGGGACTCAGCTTGTACCTGGGGCCACCACTGAATCATGATTCACCCAAACAGCAGAGCTTTAGCCGCCAGCAGGGCAGGGAGGACCCGACCGGATTCATCTCTAGGGATCAGGGGATAAAAATTTCCAAACCATAGGATTTGTGTTCCATCTGCTGGTAGGTCAGACCAGATGTAATAAGTTAGTGTTACAAGCAGGACTGTATTGTATGGTATTTTTAAAACTCTGCTATTGTGCAAAGGCTATTTGAGTCTAAATACCTGTGTTGTGATTTATATAAATACTGAAGATATGTAAATTGCCTTTTTTGATTATAAAGGAAATCTAATACTTTTAAAGAATGCAATGCAATATCAAAAAATGTTTACTTGGGGCTGGCCCGGTGGCGCACTGGAGAGTGCGC